ATTATTCCCAAATAAATTCTATCAAACAGGCACTAAGTTCCATTATTTAGAACTAGTCTGCATGGCCCAACCATTTTCAAGTTCGAGGGACATTACTTCAATCAAAGACTCTCAAGTAAAAAACCTTCATAAGTTGATTCATATTTTTACAAATAAATATTGTAAGTGTTATGCTTTAGGTCCAATCGATTTTGGATATAAATATTTTAATATATAATTTATACATTTTATTTATGACAAGATCTATTATTTATTTGAATTACTATTTTAATAAATTAAATAATAGAGTCCATAAATTTAAATTTTAGTAATTTGTTAACTGCAAAAAGTTGTGATTGTGAAATGCAAATTATATATGACTGAATCTTAAATTATATGTGGTCGTATGTAATAACGAGTTATAGATATCGTAATTACGGATAGACCATTACATGTGGCATTTCTTATTTTAAAGTGGCTGATCTTCCAAGTTAAAGTGTGATGACACTTAAATAAATTCGTGAACCAAGAGTGATGACCAATTGTGCGAATCAAGAGTACCTCTCGTATTAGATTGAATTATTATTGCTACACTGTCATCAGTAGGGTAAAACTAACATGCCTCACGATGGTCTAAACCCAGCTCACGTTCCTTATTGGTGTGTGAACAATCCAACACTTTAGTCAACTCTTGTAGAACCCATACAACGGCAATAAAAATGATAAATCCTGGCAAGACGGCAAATAAGTATCAATATCATGGGTAAAATGAATTCGTTGCATGTCAAGTACAACGATTATCATTGAAGTAACTCACGAATGCAAAGCCCCCGTAGCGTCCACTGTTCAAAATTAAAGAAATCAGTAAGATTAAGGATTATGTGAATCCTCAAGAATCCTGAAAGTCTAGTCCATTACAAATTTAAAATAGCTATGCATTATCTGAAATTGACTAGTTGACAATTTAGCAGGAATTATTTCTGAACTTACATTTTTAGCAATGAAGAGCACAATAAAAAGAGAAAGAATAAGACATCCAGCAGCAATCCTTGCAGTGACAAGATTTGTTGATGCAAGGATGAGAACCATACCCCAAAATGATGAACCAAGATCTATAACAGCGAAACAAAAACGATAAACTAACATGACCAGATAGCAGACCGAAAGAAGGATAGTGAATGAAGAAGCTAACCAAATTTAACCAAGTGATCCATTAAAACCAGCATATGTGGCTAAATAAATCATTCAGCGTACTTTATACAGAAGGGAGAAAATTAAGTAGAGAAGAGTATTACATCCTGCCGGCAAAATCAGCGTACTTTATACAGAAGGGTGAACAATCCAACACTTGCTGAATTCTGCTTCATAATGATAGGAAGAGCCGACATCGAATGATCAAAAAGCTACGTCGCTATGAATACTTGGCTGCCAGAAGCCAGTTAAAGTGTGGTGATACTTAAATAAACACGTGAATGTTTTGTTATAGAACAAGATATTGGAGACCCGCTGGAGAGATTCTACGTGGATAACAATCTGAATATTGGTGGTTAATATCTAAGATTCGATAGAGAAATTGGTCATTTGACTTGAGATCATCATAGCGCCTTTATATGAGGACAATCATACTTTGGTGATGTTCGATATTGTTTTGCCAAGAGTTGCTAATACTATATCTTTCCAGTATGTCAATAATCATATAAATGTTGTAAATTATTCGTCACTCTTAGATAATAAGAGATTATGATTTACATTTCATTCAATTAAGTTAATAACGAAATCATTGACCAGAGTGTGATCATAAGTCGAAAATAATTTTGGACTTATATTGATTTGATCGATAATCGAGATTGACATACTTCCATATCTTGTAATTGATCGAATTATTTTGACGAATTGATTATAATTTCACAGTAAGCGAACATATTTGGTTTTGTGTTGCTTGACACACTTTTATATCTCGTAAAACGTGATATTTCTTGTCACGTGTTTTGTCGACATGTCAATTTGGGATAACGAATGTGAATTAATTAATATAGATGAATTAATGACAAATTAAAATGGTATTTTAATTTATCTTATATCAAACTAATAATTTACGTTATTAAGTATCGTGATAGGAATCTAATGAGTCACACACAAAAGAATAATAATTAGAAAAATGACATCTATTAATTAATTGACAAGCGTTGGATAATTAATTAAT